CCATGTATCCTATTTTCGTGAATGAAGAAAAATGTTGCACATTGTAGTACTTCAAACTTATTTACGGTATAATATTCAGAAAATATCTTAGAATTTACTACAAACTGACCACGCATCAATACGCAATATAGTGGCTAATATCTTAGGACTTCAATGCTTATTTGTGGGCTAAATTAAAAAATGGGTAATTTTTTAACTCCTCTTAACAAGTTTGGTATTGAAGTTTCTTTGACGATTTTTCGGTATTAAAAGTCTACTTATTCTGCAATTGGACATTTTTCTTTATCACTAATGAAAATTTAGGAAAAAAATTTATGAACTTAGTCAAGAAATCTATAATTTTATATGTGCCACATAATCTAAATCCAACCACATCAGTTAAACAAACACCTTAGCATTCTAATAACCTTGAAATTAGTCATGTGAGGTCACGTAAATTTCCCACTCATTATTTTGCTTGTGACGAAAAAATGTTTAATTGCACATTTAGCGTACTTTTAATGTCAAACGGTTGCGGGAGAAACTATCAAAATCAAATCGGTTAAGGAGAGTTGTAAAAAATACCAATTTGATAATTTAGCTCTTGTTTATATGTGTCGGCAAGTAAATCTTCGTTTAGCTGGAATCTTTTTTTTTTTTTTTTGCCCCTACTTTTTCATGGAAGGACGGACAACTACATTCTGTGAAAGGAACTCTCTCTTTGGCCTGCATCACGGAAATAAGATTTTTTTTTTGACCTGAAAAACAGGGTATAACCCTGTTCATTTAATATAAAGCAAAAAAGTATCAACGAGGAGGTTACAACTTCTCTAGGTAGATGGGGGCACTGTAGGAGAAGTGAGTAGGGAGCGGACCAATGTCGTCACCTACTACACTTAACCTACAAACCCCCCCATCTGTCTAGAGAGAAACACTTCTTACATTACAACCGAATATAGCAACTACTTTAGTTCACAAAATACTAGACATAGCTTGGTATTTCTGATTTCTAACCAAAATAACAGGAAATTTCTTCACTGGTAAAAAGCTTCAACTTTGAGACATTTACAGCCCCTGAAGAGGTGTTCTTCTTAGCTAGCTCCTGCAGACTAGCTGGCACTGTTGTCCCCAGCCCCTGAAGAGGTGTTCTTCTTAGCTAGCTCCTGCAGACCGAGGTTGAGGGATGCCCTTCGCAGCCTCCTCGCCGTCCTGTCATCTGCTGGACCTGTCCAAAAAAATGGAAAACCTCGCTATATTAGAGGCTATGAGCAACGGAATGGGCTGAATATCCTTGAAAATGAGAGAATTTCTGCTAAACCAGATCCACCAACAAAAACAAGGCATTAGAATCTTCCATATTGCTTTGATGTCTGAACAAATATTAGGGACTTTGTGAAGCAACAGCAGATCTTCCATGGTTAATGGCCAGCTGTTAGCTGGAAAGAAAGGGAGAAGGAGCTTCCAAACCTCTCTTGCAAATGAACAGTGGATGAAAATGTGATCGTGGGTTTCATTTTCCTCAAGACACAGAGGGTCACCTGACCAGCCTTTTTTGATCAAATTGTCTCTAGTGTTGAGCTTCTTTTTTGAGATTATCCAAAGGTGGACTTTTACCTTTAGGGGAATCCTGGATTTCCAGATCATGTTGAAGAACTTGGATTTTTGGCCCCCTGAAGTTGCAAAAGTGTAAAAAGATTTTACAGAGAAAATACCCGAAGAGAGGAGAGGCCACTGTAAGCCATCATGATCCGATGAAGCTCCTGGGGATTTATTCTCTAAGTGAGAAAGAAGATGAAGAATGTCTTCCCTTTCATTAGGGGAGATCCCCCTTCTAATTAACGGGTGCCAGATCCATGAATTATTTGTCCATCTGCCTTGGGAGCTTATACTGCAGTTTTTTGAGAGAGCAAGTTTGTATGCATGAGGATAAAGGCTACTAAGAGAATTATCTGAGGACCATTTATCATGCCAAAAACTGCCTGAGTTACCATTACCCACTTTCCATCTCACTATGTTGAAAAAGATAGATTGAATAGAGTAAAGATCTTGAAGAAATCTTGAGGATGACATCTTAGGCTGGGTGACCAGAGGATTAGCTCCATTTTTTGAATAAATGGAGAAAAACACTTTGCTTAGGTAAGAGGATCTGTCGAACATTTTCCAAATCCATTTGGAGAGGAGGGCTGAATTGAAAGTGGGGATATCAATCACCCCAAGCCCTCCTTCTTCTTTAGATTTACACCAGATAACGAAATGAAAGAAAGAGAGCTTTCAATGTACAACGGTGGGTAGACTTGAATTACAAAACACAAGAAGAAAAAGGGGTGAAACGAAGGCTGCAATTGCGAAGAAACAAACAACTACAGTTGTATCCCCCCCCCCTCTTTCTCCGGGAACTTTTGCCGCGTAGCCCTGTACGAGAGGGGGCAATTAGTTTCTTGGGACAGTACTTGCACGTCTCGACCATCAGGCTATATTCTAAACTCAGTTTAATTTTATATCTATTTTTTATCATTATCTAATTCTGTTAAAACTGCATTTTGTGCTAATTACACTCTAAACAGCTTATATTCCCAACAATCTTATATTTCTAAACTTATATTATGCAAGCTTATTAGATCACTATATGGTCTCAAAATACACTTCTTTTTATTAAGAGTAAAGGACATATCTGTTCTAAAAACTATTCTATATATCTTTGAAGACCTTTCAGGATTGGGGATTAATTATTCAAAATCATCTTTGATTCATTTTAGTAAAAACACTCAAAGAGGAATTCTTTTAGCATCACGTTTAGGGGTGAGCACGGTTCGGTTCAAACCGAAAAAACCGACCGAACCGACCCGAACCGACCCGAAAAAAGCGGTTTTATGAGTAAGGCGGTTCGGGTCGGGTTGACAATTTTTCAAACCGACCCGACCCGAACCAACCGAATATATTCCCTTGCCTCAAACCCTACCCGTTTACCTGTTTACCCAAAGACAAAGCAAGTCCGTTACTAAAAAATTACAACGTCAGAGTCTAGTATTTTTAATCTAAAAGGACAAGTTACTTCACTTAAAAACAGTATACATACATGAGCAAGAATAATAAATTAAAGTGAAGTTAAAAAATAAATACATGCTGGCATAGGGTAATAAGAATATATAAAAGATAAATTGAAGTGAAGTTATACTTGATGAAGTTAGAACCGAACAAACCGAACCGAACCGCACCGAACCGATTTGCAATGGTTCGGTTCGGTTTTGAATTGTAGGTGGTTCGGTTCGGTTGTTCAAATTTTGGTAAAAACCGACCCGACCCGAACCGTGCTCACCCCTAATCACGTTAATAGTTACCTCTGATAGTCAAACTCGTTAGATAGTGGCCCACTAGGTGATGTGATATGTCTATCTATATATATAAAGGAAATTTTAGGGTTTTTAAAATTAATTAAAAATAATAATAATTACAAAATAAATTAAATAACTATGAAAAATTATCTACACATTAAAACGTACCAGTTGTACTAATACAACATATAATACACAATAGTAAAATAATATAACAAATTGTACAATTAAACGAGATTAGTTAATAAAAATATATTTACTTATATTTAAAATAAAATAATTATGGGATAATTATCTATACAATAAAACATACCAGTTGATACCAAATATTTCAGCAAAAATTGGACTCACGAACCCCACTGTCTAGTTTTGTGGCTTAATAGGTGATCTGTTTTAGATATCTATATTCATGTAGACGCAGATGTAGATATTGCAGAACCCACCTAAGCTTTCAAAGGTCTCCCTTAACTGTTTTAATGGGGGTTGCATCCATTATTTTGATTATTAAGTGATTGTTGATCGTCAGGGGTTCCGTTGGGAAATTTTGAAAGTGTATGAAGATTTTGTAAGGTACCCAAAGTTTGGTGGGAAAAACAAGCTCATCGTGTTTTTTCTGTGGTAAATCCCCCAAAGTGAAGTTTTTTCTTTTTAATTAATCCTTGGTTAAATTTCGTGAAGCAACGATGGGTTATAACCTCATGTTCGGTCATGTGCCCTTTGTCTTTTTTGCATGAAGAGAAATATTGCATGCTGCCAAAAACTCTTTGATGAATGACGCACAAATTATTGGTATAAAAGTGTCTATTATTGTAGGACCATGACAGCGCACCCCACTGGTTTTGGAAGTAGCTAGGATGAAATCTGGGATCCTCTCCTAAAGAAAATATCATAATATCTCCTAATGAGGAGATCCTAGCCTTTCATTTTCATCATGGCCTTTCATTTCCCACCCATCCTTGTGGGCCCCACTCCCAACTCTTCACAAATCTCATTAGAAAATATTATGCATTAGGAGAGGATCCCAATTCGGATGAAATGGCGGTTGAAGAATTAATGTGGTCGCACATGTTTGGGACCCGTGGATATAATCCACATGGCTTATGGGGTCCATATATGAATGGCTTATGGACGAAGTTGATTATAATAAAAAAAATATTTTGGAAAATTTAATGAATTATAATTCATTTTCAATAGTAGATTACGTGTTCGGCAAAAAAGTAGCTTATAATCCCTCCTCGTGGTCAAAATAACCGATAAGACATGGTTCAAAATTCAAACATATGAACTCATAGAGAAACAGGACTTTAGAATTTTCTTAAATACTAAGGGATAAACTAGTCTTTTAATAGGTCAAATTAAGTGGCATATAAGGCACCGATAAGTAAGCTAGATTACTCCAGCTTATTTAATTTTGGCTTATAAGCCAAATTAAGGTGAGTTTACCAAACATGTCTTAGTGGCTTATAAGGCAGTTTGACCCGTTGCCAATTGAATCAAGTGTAGTGAGATTTACATTTCCTACATAAAAATAAAAGGGATATAAACAAAGAAGCAAGATTGACAGAAAACTCCTTATGATCAGATATATTTACAGTTTAACACCCTTGTTTTCAATTCCTAATCAAATAGTCATGACTTTTATATGTAATTAATCTTTTTCAGTGTAGTTAATTATTCGTATCAATAATGAGTGTATATTTTATAATATTAAATTTTATATCCAAGTTAAGTTTATAGAACTTATGAGAGCGTATATAAAATTACTTTTAGAACATTTTGTCAGGATTTTTATGGAGATTATCTTTGGAATTGTTTGTGGGAAAATTTGCAATAAAAAGAAATGATGGAAAATTGATTTGTATTCCTTTAATCTCAGTT